ACAGTAAGTAGTCAAGTAGAGTGCACACCTTATGCGCAGCATGTTATAAGAGGTATTTCTTGGGCTTAATATAGCCCCCATCCCTCTTTAGAATATTATATATTTTTACCTCCAGATGTCTTCTAAAGAGGGATGAGGGCTATATTAAGCCCAAGAGAGACCTCTTATAAAACACACACACATACCGTCTATCTATCTATCTATCTATCTATCTATCTATCTATCTATCTATCTATCTATCTATCTTCAAGGCCTTCTAGAGAACAAAGACATCCCTCTAGCCTTCTGCAGTTGCCCACCTAAGCTATCTGGATTTTATTCTCACATACAAATCTTCCTGGCTTCAGAAATCTTTGGAGGCAGGTTTTCCACCATCAGAGGCTGATTTGGTGGATACACAAAAGTGGCCTCCTTGGTTGCTATTCTTGGGCTATGGAGCTCCTTGTTAAGGAGGTTAGACTGATCCACAACTGTTGCTCTTCTGTCTCTTTATTTAGGTGGATTTCCATCAACTACTTAGCTTTTGAGAAAGAGATTTTCAGCAAGCTGCTGCTGCTGCTGTGCTTTTAAAGAAAACCAAATAAATAAGGTCCAAGGCTTGGAAAAGTTACTTTTGGGACTACAATCCCCAGGATCCTCTACCCAACATGTCCACTGTTTATGGTGGCTGGGGGTTCCAGAAGCTGTAGTCCAAAAAGTAAATTTTCACATCCTGCTAATGCATACTGTAAATTTCTAAATTTAGGAGCAGGAACCTGAGAATAATGGCCAGGGTTTGAGAATTCGATTCTTCACATAGCCAGCATTTATCTTAATCCATAATAATGATAACTAGTCAAAGCTAAATAAGGACATGCATGCATACTGAAGGTCTACATTCTCCCACAGGTGCCTCCCATGTTGACCCATAGGATCTTTGGATCAGACTGAAGGTCTCTCTTGGCCAGCATTTTGTCTTAGGAGTTTATCACACAGGATGGATACCATGTAGAAACTAAATTTAAACTGGAAAAAACCCACAAATGTGGGTAAATTTTCAGATGACGTCAGGGGTTGATTTTCACACGATGTCAGGGTTAATGAGCATTAACACGACATTAACCCTAACAGAAACTAGACAAAACCTGCTCCTTTTTACTTCCAGCAAATCCCCAAAGTAAAAAGGAACAGGCTTTGTCGACTTTCTGTTCGGGTTAATGTCGCATTAATGCTTATTAACGTCAATGTGTCTGAAAATCAACCTGCTTTTGGAGGTTTTCCCAGATTTTTAAATCCTGTTTCTGCATGGGATTTCTGTACTTTGCTACCATGTGATAAACTCCATAGTGGCCAAGCAGAAGCCTATGTAGCATCCACAAACAGGATTTGAAGGCAATAGCACTGTCCCATTTGAGTTCTCCACTACTAAGAAGAGCACTATTTGTAATCCTGGAAGTAATATATAACCATCATGAATGACAGCCATTGATAGGTGACAGGGATAGGACACCTAGGGATCAGGGTTTGAAAATGTTAATTTTTAGGAACTACAACTGCAAGGGATCTGGGAGTTAATCTAAAAATGTAATATTGCCAAGCTCTGAGACTCCAGGTTATTCTAGCCATTGCTCATTGATCCTGTTCTGCATGCATTCCCTTTCCTTTGGCATACTAAGGCATTGACTATGATGGCTTTTCAATGGTGGTGCCAACCCTGTAAAAACCCCTGCCTAATTACATGAATGTTGGTTTTTTGTTTTAGACAGCTTGCCAGTTCTGTGCAGTGGTAGTCCACTGCTTTTCAATTTCTAGAGTATCCAGAACTTGGGAAAGCTAATCTTTTGGTTATAATTCAGAATTTCCTAGCCAGCATCTAGCACTAATTCTTATTGTAGCTTTTAATTACACTGGCACTGTGTTGTGGCTTTATATTTCTGTATGTGACTTTACTTAGCGGTTAGCTGGCTTAACGTTTTTGTTGGGCAATATTTTTTGGAAAGGGACGATGAGGAAAAAAGCATTTTAACTAATGAATTATTTGCATTAGTTGCACAGAAAATAAATTCAGCTTCAGTGCAGAACTTTGACTCTTCTTTTGTTTGAAGCAGAGGGTATGCTCAGCATGATTCAATGTTTCAACTTGCAGTTGTTCTCCATAAAAGATCACAAGATCTTGCTTTCCAGAAGAGACCTACTGCTGTAACTTTTTCCTCTCTATCAAGCATTACACAACTCCAAATGTTTTGAAACCTTAGAACAGCTGCTGCCAACATTCAGCACAGCTCTCTCCTTGCCTTGGGTTACATAGATAGTCTCACAAAAGGACTAATGAAATGTTGTCAACAATTATCTGCAGTAGCTGCTAGCTTTACAGGGACTCTTCCAACTTCTATAAACAAGCTTTACGGGGACTCTTCCAACTTCTATAAACTCTTCCAACTTCTATAAAAAAGGAAGAAGTCCAAAATTAAAAGTAAGATTAGTATCTGAAGCCAATGTGGCTGAGAGAGAGAAAGAGGACAATTTCTGTATTAGCTTCAAAAATCATTTGAGTAATGCCAAGCTGTAAAAAGGCTTACAAGCCTTTTTACTAGCAAAGCAATGATGGTAAGATGTATTTTGCCTTAGAGGTGAAACGATCCAAAGAGTTATTGAATGTCATGCTTAGCTCTTAGGACTGGGTCTCTATATAGTACTAGGATTGGGGAACCTATGGGCCTATAGATGTCACTGGACTATAATCCCATCAACTCTAAGCATTGGGTGCTTTGGCTGAGTGCCTGTCACCTCTACTGCTCTTTCAGACTGCATGCCTACACATGCCTCTGTGTGTGTTTGTGTGTGCCTTTAAATTGCCTATCGATTTATGGTGACCCAATGAATTCCATAGGATTTCCTTAGGCAAGGAGTACTCAGTGGTGGTTTGCCCGCTCCTTTCTCTGAAATATAGCCTACAGCATCTGATATTAGTTGGTGGTTTCCCATTCAAGTACTAACCAGAGCTGACCCTTCTTAGCTTCCAAGATCAGATGGGATCTGGTGCCTGTAGGGTATTTAGGCAGCTGCTACCAGGAAATTATTCCCATTGATGTCTCCACTGGATTTACATCTAAAGAATGATGCTGTAGGTATGTCAAGAGCATGGCAAACTATGCCCTTTGCCAGAAATCAAAGATATAAATAGCTGTGTTAGTCTGTGTAATCAGTATTAATTGTAGATAGATTTTTCAGCACTTTTAAGACTAACTGAAAACTACATTTTTTCAGTTAGTCTTAAAGGTGCTGCAGAATCTATCTACAATTAATACTATCTATGCCCTTTGCCAATAGTTCAGGAAAAAAAGTAAAGTATGCTGCTTCCCTCCAAGACAGAAATAAATAGTATTCCAGCTTGTTAATATAAGGGAACTAAGCCTGAGTATAACAAACTCAGATCATAGCCCAAGGCTGAAGTGAGGCCAGACTTATTCCTTTTTTTTAAAACCTTAAATGTTAAACTTTATTAAGGGGAATACTTATAAAGTCATGTTCTTTTTTTAATTTTTAATCAACAAAATATAATATATAAAAAACACAGATGACAAAAAACATACAAAAACAATACATTAACATATCTAACTAACTTCTTACTTCCTCTCCTAATTTGTTTAATCTATTTCTTACCAATAAAATCTCCTTTTACCAGTCTCCAAGCATACCTGTTCTATCTGTACCATTGTCTTAATTTCGTGTCTATTATTGAACTTAAGTATCTCTGTTTTGTTTATTTCCAAATTCTATATAGACTGTCAGCATTAAAGAATTCTCTATACAATACATCAAAACTTGCATTGTCTATAATGTTATTATAGAGCTTATTCCAAATTATTTTGCTTTCTGAGTCAGAAGCTGTCCTCACAGTCAAAATGCTTAGTAGCCAAAGCCAACCAGCCATATTACTTTGGCACATGAGACAGAAAATCACACAGGCACCTCTCCCTGTTCCTGACAGTATTAAAAGAAGCAGGAGCAGCAGCAACATTTGAAACCATGAACACTTTTCAGCCTTTACTTGATACTCTAAGTTTGCTATTTTTTGGTCTAATAGTTGGGACAGCTTGGAGTGCCACTTGCACACAGAGCTACCACATCCCACATCTAAAGCTGCTGCTTCTCATTTTGCCACTGTAGTTTGTCCTGACCAAATTATGAGGCAGGTAAAGATCACTCAGAGTGCATCCACACTGCAGAATTAAAGCAGTTCAACACCACTTTAACTGCCATGACTCAATCCTACAGAGTTGCTAGATTTGTAGTTTGGTGAGGCACCAGAGCTCTCTGACAGACTATGCTGAATATCTCACCAAACTACAAATCTCAAGCATCTGTAGGACAGAGTCGTGGCAGTTAATGTAGTGTCAAGCTGCTTTAATTCTGCAGTGTGGATGCACCCTCAGACACAATGGGATGAACCCTTCTCTAAGCAGCTTCTTCTTTGCAATTCTTCCATGTGGCTCAGCATGAAGCTGTTTGCTGATCTGAGGAAGGAAGGAAAGAAGGGGGGACATGCCATTCTGTGCTCTGAGCATAAAAAATGCTTCGGATTTCAGAATGTCTTCCTGTCAAGTTACTGTGGCTCTCTCACCATCTCTGTGGCGAGAGTCACATAGGAAGACACAGTGTCCATACGCAGCTGTGTGTCCCCGCTTAACCTACGATGAGCAACTGCAACGCTTGCAGGCGAAACACAGACTAAACATGAGTGAATTGTTTTGCACGGCTCAGCTGAGTCATGTCAACATTTGGCACAGTGGAACCTGGCTGGGGGAGAGGAAGGGAAGTAAGAGATCCTGACACTTTTTTAAAAAAAAAATCAAGAAGAGGAAGACATGAGATGAATCAACAATTCTTTTGCTTACACAGAACATGAGAACAGAAGCAGCAAGTGTGCAACTCTCTCCAGCCCAGCCTGACCACTAGCCACAACAGGCAGATGTTTCAGGGTGCAGCTTTTGAGTGTCGTTCAAAGGCAGCACATTGGAGCTAGAGTGGTGTAGTGGTTTGAGCACTGAAGTATGACTCAGGAGACCAGGGTTCGAATCCCCGCTCGGCCATGAAACCCACTGAATGATCTCGGGTGAGTCATGTTCTCTCAGCCTTAGAGGATGGCAATGACAAACCCCCTCTGAAGAAACGTGCCAAGAAAACCCTTTCGGATCCCCATAAGTCAGAAACGACTTGAAGGCAAACAAAACAACACTGTTAATAGAGATATACAAGGAGTGTACTTTTGCCTTCCTTTCTGGCTGTTGATATTCCCAGAGGTATCTGGTTGACCAATATGTGCAAACAAGAGCAGGGAGACCAGATATCCTCCTTTACTAGGGCATGTCCTACATTTCAGCCTTCTGTCCAGGAGGGATTCCAAAATGTCCTTCACTTTGAGCATGCCTAAGAAGATTGATATGAGCATTTTCAGGTTTTATTTTATAATGGCCTAAATTTTTCTTTAATGTCCTACATGTTGCGGTGCCATGTCCTCCTTTGTGGTTATGACATCTGGTTAGCCTGTTTGGGAGTCCATGACTTTTGGCTGTCAAAGCCAAACTTTGTAGCTTATAGTTTCTCACCTGGCAAGCCACCAAATCCTCCTGACTGGCATTTCCTGGGGGAAATGTGGATACATTTTCTAACAGGTAAAAGAATTGGGCAGTGGTGTCCAATATTCTCACATACATTGTCTTTCTGGAAGACAAGCACCCAAAGCTCCCACCAATCCAGTCTTTCTTGAGGAGAAGATGGGGTGGGGTGGCATTGTAGGCTGTTCAACGAATTCAGGCCATAGTGTCCACCCATCTCTACTCTCTGCCTTTCCTATTCTCAAGCATAAAAATGACAGTGGTGTTTAGTACCTTCACTCCACTGCTGCCAAACAATCCTACACTGTCCCCCCAGATTAATTTTGCAGCATTCATGTTGGGGTGCCATCCGCCTACCATTCTCACTAGATGGTGGCACCCCATTTGCCATGGCATACATATTTATTGAAGCCTGATTAGACTAGATAGACCAGTTTCCCCCAAGCTGGTGCTTTCTAGATACCTTGGACCCCACCTTCCATCTTGGCCAATGGCCAGGAGTGCTGAGAAGTGGAAATAACTGGAAGGCACCAGATTGGGCAAGGCTGAAGATTATTTTTCAGGGTTCTGAACATTTCCCCCACAAACCTAGTCTCAGTCTCTACACCAGAAACAAAGGAAGTACACAAAGGACAAAGAGAAATTGGCACGGCTGGGGAGGTGGACGAAAATTAAAGGAAGTGGCAAAGCTGGGACAGGAGTCGGCAACCATGGTGTTTTCCTCTCCCTTCAAGGAAACAGTCAAATATGTTTCTTTGAGCACTAGATTTGACTGGCTTGTTATAGCTGTACTTAGTATAATGCAAGCTACCACACTGTGTACTCGCCTACCCTGTCTCCAAAGAGCACTTTTGCTGTTGTTGTGTGTCTTCAAGGAGTTTCCAACTTAGGGCTACACTATCATGGGGTTCTCTTGGCAAGATTCCTTCAGAGTGGGTTTGCCTTTGCTTTCCTCTGAGGCTGAGAGAGCGTCACCCAGTGGGTTTTCATGACCAAGCAGTGATTTGAACCCTGGTCATCAGAGTCCAGTGCTCAAACCACTACACTATGTTAGCTCTCTTGAGGCTGTCATACTTTGGACATGTTATGAAATGATGTGACTAATTGGAAAAGATGATAATACTTGGTAAGATAGAAGGCAATAGGGAAAGAGGAAGACACAATTACATGTGGATTCATTCAACTGAGGAAGGCATGGTTGCCCTGAGTTTGCAAGACCTAAGCAAGGAGGCTGATAACCAGGACTAGAAAAATATTTTCTGGAGGAAGAGTGTGGGTGCAGTGCCTTTTCTATGTACAGAAACATACATTCCACATTTTTACAGAATCCCTGTCTGCAAGGCCAAAGTTGTTAGGAAGAAAAGGGCAGGCTTTGCTGTCACTGCTAGCACCTCCAAGCATGACACTTTACTTTCCCCCCACCGATCTGAACTAATTCAGCTATCGTGTGTGGAAGTACTCAAATCCAGAAGCCCCTGTATTGGCCAGACTATTGGACTGGGACTTAGGAAATATAGGCTCAGGTCCCTAGCAAGCTAGGAAAATCACCGGGTGACCTTGATCCAGTCACTCTCGCTCTCAGGTTGACCTATCTCGCAGGACAATGAAGTAAGGAAGAAGAGATCCATTTATTATGCCACCTTGAGATCAAGAGATGAAAGACAGAATATAAATGTAATAATAACTGTAACAAACAATAATAATAAACCAATATCCTGCTTTTCACATTGGTCTGTCAAATGCCCCCTAGAAACCTAGACATGGGATGTAAAGGCATCTTCTCTTATTTTTGTCCCCTACAGTTGGCATTTGGTAGCATGCCATATATATAAACATAGAGTTTTTGCCTGGATTTATTTACCATATTCTTTTAAACCTACAATGAACATTAGAATATCAAGGAGAACAGTGTTGAGACTTCATCCTGCTTTCTATATGTATGGAATATACATATTATTAGGAGGAGCACTCATTCATACAATCCTCTATATACAGTCAGAAATACAACCCACACACAGGTGAGAAGATGATCTTGGTCACAAACAGAATGAGGAAATGTTGAAAACAGTTTGCTATTGAAAGATAGTTTCTTCCAAGCACAACACTTTCCCACATATAAATCAACTTGCCATTCCCACTTTATTGATCCCTCTAACAACCTTGGCAGGTAGAACTAGGAGCAAGCAGGTCACTGGCACACTTTTGCATGGCAAATATCACCTCCTGGCTTGTCATTCTAGACCCACTGTCAATCTTCTTAATGTACAATGGTTGACACTCACTTTGTTGAGAAGTGCACAGAACTCTGAAAGGAATGTTTGCTTCATTTTAACTGAATAGCTTTAATTTAGAGGGAATTAAAAAAAGTATTTAGGTAGTTTCTAAATTTAGGTTTCACTTTTGATTTTTCTTTAAAAGAACTGGCATAGTTTGAAATCCCTTTTTCCACTGACAGATAAACACAGATATTTGCCTGATGACAGCTGGTCTGTGGGAGTCCCTCAGAAAGGAAAATCACCTAATCCAGAGAAAAGAGAGAAGCCAAAGGAAGAAGAACAAATAAGCAAGCAAGGGGGGGAAAACTTAAAGGGCATGAAGTAAAGCTTTGTATGGACAAACCTGTATTTAGATTGGAAGGTCCTTCATCCAGAAAAAATAGTTCACTTGTTTGGGGAGGATTTCTGTGAGGCTATATTTGAAGGTGTCTAAACCACTCTTTCAAAACATGCCCTAAATTTAATGTTGCTCTCTTCTGCTCTGGCAGGCTATAAGAATGCGGATGTCAGAGTCTTGCAAAGTAGTTGCTGTCTGCATACATCAAGGAGGGGTGGGGAAGGTCAGGTAATTGATAAAGGATGTGACAAAGTCAATTAGATGAGAAGATACTGATCAATGAGGAAGTTAAACTGGGACACTTAAGCTGGAAAGTTAAGCTGAGACCCAGTTCAGAAAGATGTACAAGAGCATAGATCAGGGGTAGGCAACCTTTCCCCTTTAAGGGCCGAGGGACTTCAGCTCCCAGAAGCCTCAGCCATGTTGGCCAATAGTCCCATGTTGGCCAATAGCTCCTGGGATTCTGGGAGCTGAAGTCCCTCGGCTCTTAAAGGGGAAAGGTTGCCTACCCCTGGCACAGATGTATCAAGGAGGGTCAAGGTATTACTTATTAAGATGATTTAAGTGTAAATGCGTGGGCAACTATTTGGTAGTAGATGAAAACAAAGCAGCCTTGTTCATATGCGTGTGGGACAGGACAGCACTTGGAAACCGTTTGGGGGGACAGACTCTAAATCCTACAATCTTCAGTCAGGATGCTATATTTGGTGTGGATTCTGGGAATTGTAGTCCCAGAATGTAAGCTCTGCTCAGCTTCCTACATAAAAGCCAGGATCTCTTGTTAAAAGCAATGCATGATTCCTACAGAAGATTCTAATACACATCTAAGTCCCACTAAAGCTCAGTACCATTTAGCCCAAGAGATGTAAGTATGAGACTGCAACGGCAATGTAACATCCTATGCTCTTTTAAATGATGTCATGTGCTTTAAACTGGTGTTATGTGTCTAATCTGTTGTTGCATTTTAATCTGTTGTTGCATTTTAATCTGTTGTTGTTTCCCATCCTGATCCATAGGGAGAGGCGGGTAAGGAATAATAATAATAGTCATCTTACCCTTCTGATATCAGTCTACATTACCACACACTTGCAACAGATCCAGTTCGCAATCCAGGACAGGCTTCTTTGACCTAATGCTCTTTGGATATTTAAGATGGTAACTCCCAGCATTCCTGTCTGCTAATCATATTAGCTACATCTGATAAGAGTTAAAGTCCAAAACATCTGGAAGGCTCTAGGTCTGAGAAAGGATGGTCTAACATAAGGTCTTTGGAAACAATGACTATGTCTTATGGCCATCACCAAAATTAGGAAGTTACTTTTCTTAATATACTGTACAGCTCCCAGTACCCACCAGTCAGCGTGGTCAATGGCCATGCAGATAAGGAATTCTCTGAAGAGCTGCCACTGCAGAGTGTGTTCAGTAAATATATATTACTTAAGCATACCATGTGGCAGTGGACAAACATCTTAGCATGTCAGCATAGGTTTCTACGGTTAAAAAGGAAATCCCAAGAGCCCACTTTCTTGTATAACTCTGTACTCTGCGTCAAGGGAAAAAATACATTATGTAAAATAAGGTAAAGTGTAAATTTTCTTAGTTTGCACAGTAGACTAATGTTACAGAATCCTAAATTTTTTTTGGAGAGGGAACTGACACACAATATCCCATAGAGAAGTAGGCAGAGTACACATCATTCTGTCTATAGTCCAAAGGCCAAACTAGAGAGTTGGCTTATGCTTGTATCTACCATGATATAAGTAGAAAGTGATATGATATGAAGATAATACCCCTGCATCCCTGTCCATAATACTGGCAAAAGGCACTAATAGGGCTTCATTAAGTAAGTGTTTGGTGTGAACCTGGGAGGTGTTATGCTCAAAGTTTTGCTCAACCTTTAATGGGAACATTATTTTTGTCCCAGTTCCTCATCTATAACATGGGTTTAAGACTAAGATGCAGCACAGTTTAGAAACAGGTAAGCACTGTATGAGATCCAGTGTAGTGTAGTGGTTTGAGCATTGGACTAGGACTCTGGAGACCAGGGTTCAAATCCTGGCTCGGCCATGTAAACCCACTGTGTGACGTAGTCTTGGACAAGTCCCACTCACTCAGCCTCAGAGGATGGCAGTGGCAAACCCACTCTGAAAAAAATTGAAAGAAAACCCCATGATAGAATCACCTTAGGATCTCCATAAGTCAGAAGTGACTTAAAGGCACACCATCACCACCACCACTGGAAAATTATTAATTGTGCCAAATCCTTCTTTCTCGGGCTGCCTCTTCTCCTACCACATAGGAGGCATTGCCTTGCTTTCTCAGTAGACATTTAACCCAGTATTCCATAGCCTCCTTCAAATCCCATAAACTGGTTTCTTCCAAGCTACAGGAGCAACTATGTAACTTCCTGACCCAGTTTGCTTGGCAGGATAGCCCAACCTGCCAAATTATTTTTCCAGGCTTTCCTGCTAAACTTACAAAGTGCCACCAACAGCATCAACTCACCTCCCTATACCCTAAACACATTACTCTCCTTGCTCTCTTTACTAATCTTCCTAGGTTCTGGATAACTGGTCCTAGAGCCTTCCTAGATGTCGATGCCTCTTTCTGGATTCTGGGCTATTAAACTGCCATACCCCACTTCCCCTAGTAAGCTATTTTATATTTATGTAAACATAACATGGCCATACTGGCTGGGGGACTCTGGGAGTTATGTAATTTTCCCAGTTTGCTGTCCTGGCAACTGGCTTCTGGCCCAAAGTTTCCTGGCCCTTTTGCAATCTATTCATTTATTTCATCCACATACCTACCACCTTTTCCTTCTGGAACTTGCTGCAGTCCACTTAGAGTCCCTAAGTAACCTTCCACCTAGTAACATGCATCTGAGGTAGTAGGCTCAACTCTATAAAAGCTCATGCTACCAACTTCTTTTAGTTATTTTCAAAGGTGATACAAGATCCCTTTGCATACTGATTTTCCAGACTAACATGGCTATGTCTTTGAATTTCTACCTGCTTGTACTGACAAGCTCCAGATCAGCTTAGCCTTCTGTGTCATGCACCCAGCCTCCTCTTACCTGGGATCATCCAGATATTGTGAACTACAAACCCCATCACCCACAACCACTGGCTGTGGTAATTGTGGCAGACAGAACTTGTGGTCCAAAACACCTGGGAGTGTCTCCTGTTCTCTGTTCAGGAGTTACAAAGAGTTTCCTTGAGCCAAAACAACAATCCATGCTTCCCCCCCCCAAGAGAACAGCCTTCCTGACCCTCTACCTTGTTTATGTGTGGACACGTGCATGCATATATGTGTTCACACACACACACACATGCATGCATGCATATATATTCCTGTGGAATAATGAGAAAAAAAAGGGAATGTACTCATGATTGTTTTAAGCTGCCATGCCAAAACAAAAATACATTTAAAAAATAAAAATTAAAAGAAAAAGTGATAGTGGTTGGGAAAAATTACTTTTCTGCCATCTCTCCAAAAATCAAAAATCTAAGGTGGACACGGAATTTCCAGGCTGACTAGATGGCATTCGGATAAGTGTGAGGCCAGGAAAGTCCTCAGAGAAAAATCTTATATATACCTCTGTTCTAACCTATAGCAGGCCAATGCCAAAGGTATTGAATAACCACCCACAACATACATATCCTCGAATGACCAGGGGCAGAGAGACTCTGGATCACTGCCACCATCTCCTCTATCTATAACCTAAGACTCTACTCCAAAGGGGAAATTTCCGCTGCACATCGCTCTGCATAGACAAGAGCTCACACAATTTTGAGTAGGATATAATCTCCCAAGAGAGAGAAAAGCAAATACTTCAAATGAAATTCTGCATCTCTCGTCTCACCTACCCCCACCCAGTACCAATAATCACCCCATGAATCCCAGCCCTCCCTTCCCACTTTCCCACCAAGTGATCCTCTAGAATCAGTGGTTCCCAATCTTTGGTCCTCCAGGTGTTTTGGACTTCAGCGCCCAGAAACCCCAACCAATTTGAGCAAGAGTCAGGGATTCTGGGAGACAGAGTCCAAAATATTTGGAGGACCAAAGTCTGGGAATCCCAGTGGTTCCCAAACTCTGGTCCTCCAAGATGTTTAGGACTTCACCTCCCAGATGCCCCAGCAAGCTTGGCCAACAGTCAGGAATTCTAGGAGATGCAGTCCAAAACATTCGGAGGATCAACATTTGGGAATCACTACCCTGCAAGGTGTTTTGGACCTCAACTCCCAGATGCCCCCAGCTAGCTTGGCCAACAACAGTCAGGAATTCTGTGAGCTGACCTCCCAAAAATCTGGAGGACCAAAGTTTGGGAATCACTGCTTTAGATCACTGATTCCCAAACTCTGGTCCTCCATAGATCCTCTCTTTCTCCCTTCACCTGTTAACTCCTAGGGTTCAAAACCATTCTTCCTCCATCTCCTTCCCCCTGTTTGCTGCTTCCCCATTTTCTCTTGTCCCTCCACAGCCCTTGGATCCTCCCCCCCTTCTCCTTTAAACTAAGGGCATCCCATGCAACCTTCCCATCCCTTCTTGTGTGTCTCCTTTGCCCTTGGCTCCTTTGAAACTCCTTCTCCGACAAAAGTGCGGCAGACTCACGTACCTTCTTTGGCCTGGATCTTGGTTGTCAAGAGGAGGAGAAGAGGAAGGGAAGGGAAAGGGGGGGATTACTTTCACATCAGACTTCCAACTTTGCTGCCTGCATTGCTCTTTGATTTCGGTCCTGCAGAGAGAGGAAAGCAAGGGCTTCCCTCTTCCTTTGACAGCAAGGATCAGTTTTGTTGGTGTTGTTGTTTTCCCCCCTTTCCCCTCCTCGAAAGGAGGATCGGTATGGGAAGGGGGGGGGGACCCCAAACAGGAGCCTGCTCTCTTGGGCTTCTCCCTCTTTGCACCAGAGATAGCCCGCGATCGATCCCCCTTTCCCCGGTGTCGTCTGGAAGGAGAAGGAGACTGAAACTAAGCCGGGTGCTTGAGAAGACATAGGGACAACCGCAACCTCCCCACGTCACAAGGGAGGCAGCCAATCGGAAAAGCGCCTGGGCAGAGATCAAAAGCAACGGGGGTGGGGTGGGGAGAGACCCGCAAGAGCATCTCCAGAGGATCTCTCGATCCCCCCTCCCTCCTGGGATCTCTTAAGGACATTTCAGGAAAGAGAGAGAGAAAGCACCCTTTGGGTCCTGGAGATCGCGAAGCCCTTTTGCAAACTGCACTGGAGTCTGACTCTTGCAAAGAGGACAGGGAACAAAGAAGAGGGGGAACAACCACCACCATTAGAAGGAGAACAAGATCCCAAATCTACCCAACAGGGATCCCTTTCATCGGCCAACCCAAATGCCCCCAAGACATGGTGCATCATGTCTTGGGGGCATTTGGGATCTTGTTCTCCTTTTGCCATAGGGCCAACGCAGCTAACTCCTGGATCTGTAACCAAAAGAAAGGATCCTGAAAGTTAAGCACGTACTTGGCTGGTTACTACTTGGATGGGAGACTGCCAATGAATGGGATGGCAGATGAGAGACTGCCAATGGGCTATACTTGGATGGTTAGTACTTGGATGGGAGACCACCAAGGATGGTTAGTACTTGGATGGGAGACCAGAAACCAACCTTTTCCCTGGTGTGTTGAAGAGGGAAAAACCACTCAAGGGGAAGTGCCAGGGCTCTCATAAACTCTGAAGTGGGTCACTGATGCTGTCTTTTACACACTTACACATACACATACATCCCTCTGCCCTCCCATCACCCAGTGAAGCAAGAACTTCTTGTGCCATTCTAGATCTGGAATCTGGAAAATCTTTTTCTGATAAGTTTCCCAGCCTTAGTGGAGTGGTTTGAGATTGGGCTCTGGAAGTTGTTGTTGTGCGTCTCCAATTAATTTCTGACTTGTGGCACTCCTAAGAGGACGACCTATCATGGGTTTTCTTGGCAGGGTTTGTTCAAAGAGGATTTGCCATTGCCTTCCCCTGAGGCAGAGAGTGTGTGACTTGCCCAAGGTCACCTAGTGGGCTTCATGGTCAAGCTGGGAATCAAACCCTGGTATCCAGAGTCATAGTCCAATGCTCAAACCACTACACCAAGTTGCTAGTTGAGCCTCTGCAAGCTTGGAATCAAACCCTGATCTCCAGTGTTGTTGTCCAACATTCAAACCACTATGCCATGTTGGTATCCGAGTCTATGCGAGCTGGGAGTCGGACCCTGGTCTCCAGAGTTGTAGTCTAACACTCAAGCCACTATGCCACAATGACTCTGGAGATTAGGGTTCAATTCCCTGCTTGGTCATGGAAACTCCCTGGGTGACCTTCGGCAAGTAGTCACACATTCTCAGCCTGAATACAATAATATCCAACACCCACAAAACAGTGATACCTTTATTGGGTCATCCAAAATGCATAAAATATATGTTGCAAGCTTTCAAAGCTCCACTAGCTTCTTCATCAGGCAAAGATGTTAAAAATAACACAAGAGGGAAAAATGGATGATATTGGCCACAGGCCTGCATTTTGTCAAAATGTTGTTGTTAGAGTTCTGAGTATGGAGGGACATCTATGCCAGCTGGCCATTCCTTCTGGCCATGTGGTACTGGCCCAAGAAGACCCTGTAACACGTTCACCTAAGCTGCTAACGTCTTGGAAGGCACACAACAACTTATTGCTATTGTGTGTGTGTCTGTGTCTATGTGTGTATGTATCTTCAAATCCCCTGTTGACTTATGGTGACGACATGAATTTCACAGGATTTTCTTAGGCAAGGAATACTCAGAGGTGGTTTTGCCAGTTCCTTTGAAATATAGCCTACAGCACCCAGCATTTGTTAGTGGTCTCCCATCCAAGTACTAACCATCCAAGTACAGTCCATTGGCAGTCTCTCATCTCCCATCCCATTCACTGGCAGTCTCCCATCCAAGTGCTAACCAGCCAAGTACATGCTTAACTTCCAAGATCAGATAGGAACTGGGCAGCAATTATATTAACAAATTAATACTAACAAATCCAGCCTCCTTCTTGCCCACTTTGGGACGGCTTGTTGGTAATGAATGGGTAATTAAAACCCATTGGTTTTACAAATGTCCTGTCCCTGATAGAAAGGAAAATGGTAGAACTGGTTTGTTGGCTGCCAGATAATGACTTTGAAAATTACCTGCCCTTGTATGGCTTTGTTTACCATCTCTCTGTGGAAGAATTCTGAAGAGCTTGAAAGCTTGTGTTTTTCCCTGAACTGGCAGAAGGAACCCCTGGAAAAGTTCCAGTCTTCCTTTGTTGTCTGGAAAAAAGTTCAGCCCTCTTTTCTTCATGAGATCTCTCCAGACAATGTTCTCCATGCTGAGCTCTACACTGTTTACTGCCAACCATTATTCTATGATTATTCAGATTTTTTAAAAAATGAGCAATGTGTTACTGTGTAAAAGAAACACAGATATGGCTCAAGCCAGCCACCTGCCCACCTCTTTGGAGGCATGGCCATGGGCACTGTCATAGTGAATGCCTACACCAGGATGGGCAATTTTGATGAGTCTAAGGACCCATTTCCTGCCCCTTGAATCCTCCTGGGGCCACTTAGATTGTCAAAACATGAAAAACCAAAAGTGGCTGAAAGTCTACTTTGGGTTTTGAAAAACTCGTTTTTTAAAAATGTTAACAGGACAAAGGGAAGTCTTTGTTGTTACCCACCTTCATGTCAACTCTGACTTATGGTGACCCTACTGTAGGATTTTATTGGCAAGAGTTATTCAGAGGAGGTTTGCCATTTCCCTTCCTCTAAGGCTGAGAGCCTGTGACTTTTCCAAGGTCACTCAGTAAGATTCCATGGCTGAGTGGGAATTTGAACATTGGCCTTCCAGGGTCCTAGTCCTACAGTTAAACCACTGCACCACCCTGACTCCCAAAGGGGGGCTACAAACTATTTAAGTGAATTGCTTTTCCCAGAAGGTCTTGAAGAAACAATTCACCTCACTTCCCCTTCTGGCAGAAATATGGTAGTTGGGGGAGCCTGGCAGAGTCAAGGGCTGCAAAAATTGCTGAGGGGTAGGCAGCATAGAGATCCCAAGGCAGCACTATCCACCCTTAATCTCCAACAAATTGACCACAAATTCACCACTAGTAGCACCCCTCTCCTCACAGAAACCTGAAAGTTATAAAGTTGAAAGGCTGTATATGTGTATGTTAAGGGAGGTTCTTGCACTGGCCCTACTAACTCCCCAATAATTTTCTTCTAGTCTCAATCCTTTAAAGTCTCCAGAACCAGCATAATCCAAAAACCCCAGAAGGAAAGGAAAGGAAAGGAACAGCATCCTCTTCCATAAGATCTTGTAGCACCTTTGAGACTAACTGAAAAAAGGAAATTGGCAGCATGAGCTTTTGTAGATGCATCTGAGGAAAGCTCATGCTGCCAATTTCTTTCTTTCAGTTAATCTCACAGGTGCTACAAAATCTCTCTACATACTGATTCTACAGACTTAACATGGCTATATCTTTGCATCCTCTTCCATGTTTGGCAAGAATCAGAGACAAGTCAATATATGGCAGTGGTAAGGATTGGTGGTCCCTTCTTAGATGCTGCTGTTACTCCAACTTCCAACAGTCCCAGCCAGCATTAGACAGGGCTCAGGGATTACAGTTTAAGAACTGAAGGGCTACAGGTTCCCGCTCACAATCTAAAGCAGGGGTAGGCAACCTTTTTGAGCCGGGGGCCGGATTACTGTCCCTCAGACAATTGGGGGGCCGAAGCACCATAAATAAATAAATAAATAAATAAATAAATAAATAAATAAATAAATGCACACTCTCTCAGCCCCAGAAAAGCCATGGTAAAAACCCTGTGGAGATTTTGCCAAGAAAACCCCAAGAACAAGTAATAACAACAATAATGAATATCTTCATGGTGGGGGGCGGCGGCGGTAGCAGCAGGACAGGCCTGGTCCAAAGGCCTTGGGGGGCCGCATCTGGCCCCCAAGGCTTGGGATGCCTACCCCTGATCTAAAGAACTCAGTTTATCAAATTCAATATAACCAGCTCAGACAAATAAAACATACAGTTTAACAAAATTCCATCAGATCCCTTCTAAATGTATGATTACAAGGGCTAATGAGCTGTGCATCTGGAAAAAAACATTGCAAATACAACAGAAATTTGAATTTTCAGCAACAGCCACCTTCTCCAACCTTCACCACTAGCTCAAATATTAAGCTTTCTCAACCCTTCAAGTACAACTGTATTCACTTCTAAAGTTCTAAGAGGGGAATCCCCCCACCCCGTAAAATGAACCAATTTTTTGTGTGGTCCTAACTACTACTCTTATTCATGCTTAAGGAAACCAAGGAAGACATATTTGTACTGGTATCAAAAATATTAAGATAACTCTGTTGAACCCAGCTTGGAAGCTTAAGTTTCTAATGCATATTTACACCCAACAATTCTAAATTTTCTCTTGCCCCTCAAGAGACTTAAATGTACCACAGGTGAATAGTAGAAGTGTTCTTCTATTATTTTTCCACCAAATTTGTTTATAACATCAGAATTTTCCAGCTAAGTACCTACACCATATAGGCAGTTTCCAATTTACTGTTGCTGTGACAGACCTGGAAATCAAAGAAACAAAAATAGACCCTTTGAAAAAGGTTTCTGCAGCTGGAAAACATCATGTTGCTAATGGCTAACTACAGAATTCAAACTCTGCCACATAGAACATTAGATTACAGGGTTGTAAGCAGAGGGTGGCATGTTAAACAAGCTACCTCCACCCTTAAATCATAGGGGGCAGCTCAGTAAGGCAGCACTTCAGGCCCTAAAAGTATCTTTGGTTTTGCTGAGCCTTCTAATCCAATACCACATGTTTCAGAAAGATAAGGTAACAGGTCATTAAACCCAGGGTGTGGTCTTTGCCCAAACTATTTCAGTACACTAGAAATTTGCAGACCTTTTCTGGTTTGTTTCTGTACATTTACTGAGGAATGCCTAGAGTCTGTCCTAAATTTAAGAGAACCTCTAAAATGCTGCAAGGTCACAAATTTTTGCCCATACCAGGCCTATCAGAACTGTTCTTTATTAAAAGGACTACTTCTGCATTCCTGTGACAAGCTACTAATTCTCAAATCCCATCTAAGAAAGATATGGTCTATTTTCCTCTCAGGATTTTCACAACCAATTACATGTAAAAAGTAGTTTATCCCTTTTCACTCTAGTTCTTAAGATGTTTTTGGGAAGACAAATTGTTCTGTCCCAGAGAGCCACTGAAAACAGCACAGGGTAAAATGACAGCCTCACACACAGACTTCAACTGGATGTCTGGACTGAAAACTGCATCTTTTCACCACTGCAACAGTTCCATACAGAAAAGGACACTGAAAGGACACATGCTGCCTTATTAGTGAACACTTCCTCTAAGCAAGCAGCATCTGTGCATACTGAACAGAAGTTCCATAAATAAAATTAATTTCTACATATTGACTGCATTCCTTGGATTGATACCAAAATACATAGTATTTTGAGTACTGGACTATGATTCTGGAGACCAGGGTTCATTTTCCAGCTCGGCCGTGAAGCCCACTAGGTGACCTTGGTCAAGTCACATACTCTCAATCTCAGAGGAAGGCAATGACAAACCTTCCGTGAACAAATCTTGCTGAGAAAACCCCATGACAGGGCCATCCTAAGTTGGAAACAACATGGAAGCACACAACACGAACAACAAACAATCCAAACAGTGGCATTTTATCAGCTCAGAGAACAAACACTTAAAGTGGGTTTTCAAACTTCAATAATAGTTATCAATAGTTCTTGCTACTTATCACTGGCACATGTCTATTAATTTGGAGAACTGGAGCAGTCAAAATGCCTTAGGTTAGATCAGGGGTCAGCAACCTACGGCCCCCGGGCCGGTTCTGGCCCAGGACACCGGACTTACCAGCCCAGGTGGACCCCTG